CCAGACGCAGGCGAGACTGCCACTGCTTTATTTAAGTCGAACTTTGTAGACGGACTGGAGTCAATATAAATTATATTCACTTGCCCTTGTTCATGGTTTTGCTTGCATAATTTTAAAAGCTTTTTAGAATTTTGCGACAAATTATATATTGTCTCAAAATTCGTTTGATATGGATGATTATTACTTTATTAAATAGATGTACGAGATTTGAGCTGCCTTGCACTCTTAGCCAAGATTTTTACATTTGTTTTTACCACGTGATTTTCTTTAAGATAAGATTTCTTAAAAATAAGAAGGTTTCTCTAAGATACGTCATTTCCACATATTTTTTAATTATTTATGAGTAGAGTACTGGAGCTCTATTAAGAGGTATTTTTACTCACATAAAACAAATGCTAGTTTTAAGTACCTAATAAGTATATAAGACATCAATAAACACTATATTTTATATATAGTTCAAGTTTATGTTATCGTCACTATAATAAAGAGTGGTTTGTTTGGCCTATTTTCGCACAGGTAAAGAACGAAAGTGTTGATCAGAAAAAAATGTGTGAGTGTAAGAAATTTTAGTATACTTTGGTATACTATTTATTCCGATATATTTATTTATTTTTAAAGTCTAAAATAGTATTTAATCAGTATATTTTCTTTATTTTATTAACACCTCCAGGTAAATCAATTAAAATTCTAAGTAATCTATTGTTAACTGACACGCCGGTGTGTCCGCGGTCGTGGAGGGATTATAAGCCTACATATTTAAGATGTTTACATAATTTGCATATTGTTTATAGTAAAGAAACAATTGCAAAATATGTTTTATATTTTTGAACTTTGAATAAAACATTTTTTTTATAATTTGCTATTATCTATATATCCCCGTAAACAAAGTCATGGGTATCAAGTATTATTATGAATACAAAAAATAAATTTATTTAGCAAAGTATTTTATTATGCTGATCCCACATATTTACATACATCAGTATGTAAATATGTGGGATTACTAATAGTTGATACTCACGCAGGATAAGAACATAATGTATTTATATATTGTAAATTATAATTAAGTATATTTAAAAGAGCAACTGTTGAGTTTCTCGCTTGCTCTTCTCAGCAGAACTGCCTTCCGAACCGGTGGTAGCTTCCTCACGGACTGACTATACTGACATTTAATTTAAATTTAAAATGTAAAATTGACGATTCATAAAAATTCTAAGGAAAAGATTGAAAAGTGCTTGTAAAAGTCTATTTGAATAAAGTATTATATTTTGATTTATTTGTTTGTCCTCCTTTCAAGCAAAAACAGAAAATTGTTTTTTTTTCTATGAATATGGTTTATTGACTGGAGAATAATATAACCTACACGATAATTCTCAAAAGTTTGGTATTATATTAGAAAATGCAAAAGTTTACTGATGTATCGAAATATACTCTAGCAAAACTGCTTTTTTTTAAGTTTCAACTAAATATGTCTGAAATCTGAGAGAAGATTTAATTGAAATAAAGATGAAGGACGTCTCGAGATTCATTTTAGATAATTATGTATAATATTTTAAATGAACAAATTAAACAGCAAATGCTATTACACTTATTAGAATAATTGTTATATCGTGAGATTAATTTTTGCGAAACATAATTAAAACTATTTAGGTATTAGAATTACCGTACAACGCTGTTTGTATTTAGTATTATATTAAGTCTAGAAGTTCTCCGGAGTACATGACTCTCGCTTTGTGTAGCTGTAACTTTGGATGTTTGAAAGTTTAAAGTAATTATTTAATACTAGCAACACACCCTCGCCCGCTTCAGCTTGGTTCTTAGACAAAAACAAATCTATTCCACAGCAACCATACATTTTTTCGGGATAAAAAGTAAAATAATGGAAATAGCACATACGTTATGTGCTATTCCAAATTATCTCTGTGCCAAATTTCATTCAGATCCGTTCAGCCGTTCTAGCGTGAAAGAGTAACAAACATCCATCCATCCCCACAAGCTTTCACATAACCCTTCGGGATATTTTTTTAAATATACATAAATAAAGAATTTTTTATAATATTATTCACAATTACAATTTTTTGTAATATTATTCACAAATAAGCCTAAAGCCCTGAAATCAAATTTTAACATAATGACCTATATATGACGCTTAGTATGGAAAAGTTTTTTTAATATTTTTTTAATAACAAAGATCATAAAAATCGGTCCAGCAGTTCTCGAGTTTGTTTTGTATATAGATTAATGTCAGCCAACTTATGTTATGTTCCGAAATATTCGATTACAAAAACTTAGTTTATTAGATAAAGATTGGCAAATTAGTTCTAAAAATGATGTATTTTCATTGATGCGTTTAATACAATTTTTCAAATAAAACGTTTTGTCAATAAGTGTTATGCATTTATCGTGTATAATGTCCTTTGACATTTCACCGAAGAGATTTTCAAATTGGGTCACGGCTTGGCGACGCGCGTCAATCTGCGTTAAGCAATCAAGATGGGCGACTCGACGAGACGTCACCACTTTCATTTACTTTACTACCATATTTTATTCAAATAACAAAGATAATCTGATTAATTACATTTGTTATAGTTTCGTACAGTTTATCTTGTCGATTATCAGGCATTATCGAATATATATAATTATTTTTTTAATTTGAGTGCGTTGTTTGGGTTTTTTCTTTATTTTTTTATTGACATTTATCTTCGAATTTGAATTGAACATTTTTTAATCCATTTTAATGAAAAAACTCTACCTCTAGCTCTAGCTCTAAATGCATACCTCGATGGTTGTTTCATATAAATTACGTAATCTATATTATACTAGCATTGCCCGCGGCTCTGCCTGCGTTTAGATGACCAAAAACCAAATTCTTAGGTTTTCATATTAGCATACTCTTACATTGCAGTTTTTGGATTTTTTCTCAGAAATGAAATATTTTCCCGCGGTAAAAAGTATCCTATATGTTGACCCGGATAAACAGCTATCATCATACCACATTTCATCTAAATCTCTCCAGTGTTTTTCCCATGATGCGGTAAAAAACCGACAGATAGACAAAAATTCTAAAAACTATAGATTCGGCCTCTGTATCGATAATAATGTCTATTTCAATAAGATTTTCCAAAAAATATTTAATGTTAAGATTCGGCTTAGTTACAATTTTATTATATGTTTAGATATAAATTAGGTCTTGTAAATAAGGTGGAATCATAACTTATAAGTTGATTTTGATTCAAAATACCTTTTTAGTTGTAATGTTCTTTATTTCTTCAGTATAAAAATTTAACATTTATTTACTTAAACTTATGTAAAGGCCAATATTGTGAAAGTGAAAAAGATATAATAGAGCTAGGAATAATCTCGTGTAGGTACATATTTTTTTTATTATAGAATTTAATATTACAATTTTTGTCTACAATTAAAATTGATTAGGGGCGATCGTATTTTCCTTTGACATTTTTTTTTAAATTAAGTAAGGAAAGCTTCGTTGTCGCAATTATTGCATAAATGCTGTTATAATTACATGTAGTATCAAAATTTTATATTCCATACAAGAATCGAACTCGTGACCATTAGCATAGCAGACAAAGAATGCCAGATCGAGATACACTATAAGAACAAAAATGTACAACATTATAACAAATCAACTATATATAATGTTACGTAACTTTTCTATCATTAAATGAGTTCAAAATTAACTAGCTATTAAAGCTGGGCCTGTATCGCAACTAATATTAATTTAACCAAAATAGTAAGGTCGTAAAAGAGCAATAATGTCTTTTAACATTTCACGAGCAGTCTAGAGACAAACAAACAGGCCCTATGCTTATTTATTTACATATAATACATATCATATATATGTAGTACGAGTATATTAGAGTTTAGTAAAGTTCATAAGACGTTTAGTTGCAGTTCGATTCCCAGTCAGAGTAAATATTACAAATTATTTCACTTAATCTGCTAAACTCATAGAAATATAGGGGACTAAGAATTATGGTGGCTTAAATTATTTTACTTTATAAATTTAACAATAAAATCTAAAATCATTATTACAGGTATGAAAATAAAAAATAACGAATACTTTACTATATAAAGAAATTGGAATGAGTTTATATTGCAGAAGAGAGTTTTCTTTCTCTACATATTGTAGAGTCGACCCTTTCAATAGCTACTATTAATTTTCTCCTATACCACGTTATCTACACATAGAGTATGGCACGTATAGAGTGGAGGTAGAACGCTGTTATTGAACGGGCACTAAAATATCCTGTAACTGTGCAGCTTCGAGTAAACACTCGACTGAGCGACTCCATTTAAGTGCAGCGACGTTATCAATTTGTTGAATATTAAGCGAGCCTGTTAATGAACAACGTCATTTGTATGGGAAAGTTTTATAATATTTATTAATGATTCTCTTGTTTAATATCTTAATAATTAATTATTTATTTTCTTTTTATAGATAGAGATTAGAGATACATTTAGAGATAGAGATTAGATATACATATATTGCGTAATATGTATGGCGTATTATATATGTAATACAAAAATTATCCAGTCATTGAATAATACAAATTTTCTATAGTATTTATGTAAATAGACACTTATAAAAGAACCAAATAACAATACGGCTCGAAAATAAACTATATATCCATGTATGGAAATTTTATTGCACACGAGAAAAATATTAGCGACTCTACATTTTTGTTATTAGTGTTTTCAAATACGTGTAACCAAAATTAGCTAAGCTACGTCACAGGTGTATCTAATTGTTTCAATACGTATTACTAGGCGCATGATCTTAATTGTGACATCAAATAAGTCCCGATAACGTTGTGCGTTGTTTACTTGCGGCTCGAACGTCAGTGTAGTGTGTACTCTGTGACGCCAAAACGCACACAAGTGTAAATCGCGAGGCTATAAATGCACGGCGCTTGCCTCCGCCCCGCACTCTACAATCAGCTCTCGTTGAGAACAAATATCCTAAATATCCTAAGTAATCCAATATGGTCGTGAAACTAGCCCACGCTGCGTTGTACGCGGACGTATACCCGGCGTTGCCTAAATGCCGTGGAAGACAGATGGAGTGTGCTGCTGAAAAGCGCCAGAAATTGAATGCTTTACCAGCCTTGGTCGAAGATGATTCCGAAGTAGAATCCTATGAACCCGAAAATGAGAGGCCCTACATCATTCACACCGAACTGCTACGGCAGAAGTCGGTGTCTCCACAACGTAGAGAAAGAATGCGACGAACTCTAGCTCTCCCATCTCTATCTGAAGACGAGGAACCTTGAGCTTGTGGTAAAAGCTACATGAGATGGAGTTTTGAGGCTGAAACTCAGCCGGTCCTGTACTCGCAGACTGCAGGCAGTGAACTTAGAAGTCTGGAAGATCAGGATCACCCAGCGGATCTGCAAAGCAAAGTGATTATATAGTGACGGAACTCTCAGCATTGTGTCAGTGCGACATATTTATATCAAACTGTGAAGTGAAACCAAATTTTCGTTGCACCACATCGTTTCATATTATATGTACATATGTGTTTATAAATGTAAGATTAATAAAAAACTTGTGTTTTTTACATTGTCTTTATTATTTCCTTTCGTCAAATGGTATGTAATTAATATATTCCATAATAATTAAACCAGATAGAGTCAAATAAAGACTTACTTATGAAATATTTTTTTTGAGTCTTTGTTTTTGCAAATAAAATAATCATTTTACAAAATACAGGTAGAGTTGATCACAAATTAAGTCATAAACCTCTAAATATTATTATAACAAAAAATAGCGATTAATTACTACATATTCTTCAACTTTGAAATAAGAACAATGTACCCTTAATATGTCGTTAGAACTTTAAATACCCATAAACTTAAGCTTGAAAATAGGATCTTTGACAGTAGAATTCAATGCCGAATTAGTTATAGAAATATGAACCTCGTGACATTTACGAACAATAACCCCGTAATGAAAATTGAAGTTAAAATTTTGTCGTAATAAATATGTGGAGCAAGGTCACAATTTAAAATTTAACCTATAAAATGCAAATTTTTAACTTACCTTTATCGCATATTACATTAAAATTAGTATTTAAATAAAAACCCAAGGATACTGGTTATTTAAATCATAGATATGTTTCATAACTTCCGTTTTTATGATAGTACATGAATGTGTACAGACAGACAAACAAACAAACAAACAAACAAACAAAGAGGTTTTGCCATTAAAAACTTAGCCTAATTCCAGCAAAAGGATGAAATCATTGCAACATTATGATGCAACAGGCGGTCTAAGGCCTTGTATCGATATATGCGACGCGATGTGGCATACTGTCTAATACAACCTCTATACTGTTACTTATGTTGTTATTTTCTTAAATTTTCTTTCATTTTATCTCCCTTTCGCTTTCTTACTTCGGTTTTTACAATATACTGTTTTTTCACTGAAATTATAACTACACTAGCAGAACCCGCGGCTTCGCTCACGCTAAAACTCAAAAACACTCAAAAAAGGTAGGTTTCATACAAATTTTCATCCCCTATTTTACCCCCTTATGGGATGAATTTCGAAAAATGCTGAAACACGTATTAATTTTAATTATTTTATTTGATTGTATTGAAGAGCATCAATACCAAGTTTCAAGTAATTCTGATCATAAATATTTTTTTGAGTTGTATCATAACCTGTTTTCCCGTGGTAATGAGATATTCTCCCGCGGTAAAAAGTAGTCTATGTCACTTTCCAGTCCTCCAACTATCTCCACACAAAATATTACGCAAATCCGTCACTCCGTTTCGACGTGAAAGAAAGACAAACAAATAAACAAACACACTTTTTATCACTATATACAATGAATTACCCGAATTCATTTCTCCATTATTATATAAAAAGAAAACCATAGAAAACTATAAATTATTAGTTTACTTCGAAGGAACAAATTACTTAATAAATTTTCCTCTGTAACTTTATTATGTACATATTCAATAACATTGTAATAAAGATAAGCGAAACTTGAACTAGTTTTTAACCTTTTATATTAAAAGGTAGCAATGACCTCTTTATGTACACATAGCTTCATAATTGTCCGTTATATGATAGGCTCTAACGATTTTTTGCATATACTGTAATAACCTTGGGATACTAATTGGAAGGCGTAAGAGAAAAGAAGGAGCGCCCACGTACCGGAAGGCGAAGCATGGGCAGGCCTCCCACAAGGTGGACAGACGACTTGGTCAAAATCGCTGGAGCCCACTGGATGCGGATGGCACAGTACCGGCTGTCGTGGAAATCTTTGGGGGAGACCCATGTCCAACAGTGGACGTGTTTGGGCTGAGACGAGAAATTACCTTTTGGTACTCCCTAGCTCATAAACTGCCCACTGTGTGTATGGTAAAAACTTAAAATAAAACCCGACTTCCAGGCACTAAAATGTAAAAAAACTAAACGGGGGTTTTCATTTAGAATAGATACCTAATCAGATATTTTCGAAGTCGGTGCCAGTCGATGTAAACTAAATGTAATATATTTCGATACGTAAAATACATCACAAATTGATGTATAATATTTTACCTATAATTAGAGTTCATACCAAAAAAAACAACAATAACAGATGCATATATGTATATATAGTAAGGACAATATCAATAGCCTTTAGTTGCGTATTTGAGTAATTTAACAAACCTACAATTTTTATCTTACATTATCAAATTGTATAAGAAGTATTAACATATGGTCAACGCATATTTATTTATTATTATTAGAGATTATGTAATCGTTTTTGAATGGCGTCGAGTACTCTAAGGTCGTAACAACAAATATGTGAGGGTTAAAGTATAATGTAATTCGTGACATATAAATAGATAATCTATTTGAAATTCGTAAATATGATAAATTATTTCGAAAATATCAAACATTTAGTTACACAACTAGAGAAGCCTTTGTACTAAATTTAAATTAAAGGAAACATATGAAAAATGTTTATTACTTTTTGGCTGTCTAAACGCGACGTGAAAAAATGAAAAGTATAAAAAATAAATTATTCACTTTAACGTCAGCATTGACAATGAATAAACAACAATAATAATTTACTTTGCACGATAATCGATTCTGTTGACCAACGGCTCATCTTACAATAGTATTTAGTAAACTTAGTAGTCTCCGGCTATACAGCCGAAGGTCACGGGTTCGAGTTGACTTAGGAGGTGGCAAGAAACGTACGTATTTGTCATGTTTGTATGTTTTTATGTGTATAACGGTACTTAACACATCATAATTTAAAAGGACCGTTCATTGTATAGCTTTATTTATTTTAACCGGAAATTGAGTTGTGGCAAACTAGATTTACACAATATGTACATTGTACATATCTACCTAACAAATATTTAATGATTAACACGATTAATTTAATCTTACGCAATGATTTCTTTTAATATATACCGAATAAATAGAATGTGATTCTTAATTGAATTTACTAATTGCTTGAATTAAATTATGTTTAGTGTCAACAATTTAACGAAGTTAATCATAATTTTTTTTAGATTTACGTGAATATTTAAAATTGGATTTCATTTGGACTATTTTGGATTTTTTCCGAAGACTTTTCGGATTTACAGCAAATATGGTTAGGGGAGAGACTATAAGTAAAGGCTTCGAAAGTAATTAATATATAATCAATTAAGCGCAAAAACAGTAAGGAATAAAATAATAAAACCCAGAAGGTACAATAATTTGATAGTTTATTTTTAAGTAATAATTAAACATGCTATATGTTCTATTCAATACGTAAGTACTAATCATGAACTCCGTTTCCATGAGACCTTACACTATGGAAAGTGTAAGTTGGTTGATTTAACCATTTTTTTTATTCAGATAAACTGTTATAAGTCGTCATTTTTTACATTGTTTAACTTCTCGTGTCTTTGGAATTCACTGATAGCAATGGTTTTGTATAATACATGACCCTATTTTATTATTTTTTATAAGTTTACATATATATTTTACATAGAAGAATAGTCCAACTATTATTTACTTAGCAATGCTTCAACAAAGTTAGATGGTTTCATTTTGCTAAATTGTTGTTTGAAAATAATTTATAATTATACAGTACATTTTAAACGAATATACAGAATTTCCAAGACTACCTTTACAGGAAAACAATGGCTCATAAAATGTTTAAATGAAACCGTGGCCGTAGCAAGTAGAACACTAACGCGGTGCCAGTCTGTCTGAGCTCCGGCAATTATCAATAGCGAACGTAAGAAACTTTTATATATAGCAGGAATACTCAGTAAAATATAAGATTTTCGAATCATTTAGTGTTTATTTATTGCATGTACATATGTCGTGAGACGCGCTTAAATTATGATAAGCTTTATTTAGATCTAGCGTCAGTTTTAAGAGTCTGAGGAAAAAAAGTATGTTTCATTACTAATATATATATACGATTATTTATTATTAGAATATTTATAATGTTATATACTTGTTTAGTTAGTTTGTTATATATTTTTTAATTTTTATTTACTATAGTTTAATAAAGGTATGGTGCTTAGTTAGCATCGTTATAATAGTAGCGGGTTCGATACCTTTAAGAGCTTTCAATATCAATGGTAATGATTGATGTTAATCAGTCAAAAAAGCAATTTTCATGCAAAAATCTCGAGATGCAAAAGATTAATTAAGAATAGATTATATTCAGACCACCGTAACCTTAATATTTATTATTAGTTAACAGAAAAATCACAGCGACTTCAAAATCGTTTTAAATGTATTTATTTAGAGGATACGATTTTTTCTTCAATTTTGATACCTTTGGACTGTAATTTTTACAAATCATAATTTAAAAAAAGCAATAAATAAGGATGTCGCTTAACATACACAAAATTTCGTTCCGATCACCTCAAATTTTTGAGTCGGCCAAAAATGTAAACAAATTAAATCAGTACATTATACGTTTGTTGGTCATTTCAAGTATATATAATAAATCCACGTAACCCACGCACAAAGGCCTCTGTCATAGCTTACGTATTGGACGGAGTTCCAGTTATACAAGAGCTAAGAAAGTTTTGTAAGAAGTTGATACACAAATGCGATATAAGCTGTTTTTAATTGTATTCAGACGTCCAAATATAAAAATTTAACGCGACTGCGTGATAGATGATTTCTTTTAGCATATAGATTCTTACATGTCACAAAATGAGTAAATCTATTTATTTTGCTTATTTTAGTGGCTTTATAGATCGCCCGCGTTCAGATGACCAAAAACAAATTCTTAGGTTTTACATATTAGTAT